AGACGAAACTTCCAAGTATGGGCACCACCGAGCTCTGCTATTCAGAACGAAGCAACTAAGCGAGCCTGTGACACTGTAAACAAGCAGGGTTCTACACACCTCTTTCAATACCATAGAAATATTGTTCTCAACATCGAGGCGGTTTTACTGACAAACTCTACTTGTTAACTCTGCACAATCGTTACTTACTCACTGGTACATCACATCACATGAGTCATGACAGTGACTAGTGAGCAGGAAGGGCCGCTTCAAGTCACAGTGCCTGGGAACCCTCACTCTCGCCGTTGTGAGACCAGGGGGTTGTGACAACATGGCAGCCACACAGTACTTTCACAAAGTTCTCAGTTGTGTGCTTAATTTTAAAGTTGTCCAATTTTTCTATACAGACAATTCATTTATTTTGTGACTGGGATTTAAAATCCAGTCTGTGAAACTGGGACTGCAGTTCCCCTTTAATGTTAAGTTGGCACTGTTTTTTTTCAAGTGGCCACTGATTTTGTGGAAACGTTATTTTGTTATTTGCATATTTCAATAGCGCAGTCAATATATCACTTCCAGACCTTTTCACAGCCCTTGGTAAGCCTCATTCATCAGTTAAATGAGTCAAGTAAGTTTTAATTGAGCTTTATGGCTGTACAGCCAGCTCCAGATCCAGTCCCGGCCCTTACCAGATTCCTGCATCATCACCCCAGTGACGGGAGACACTTCTCAGTCCCAGGGCTGTGACACACATGAATCATGACAAGGGGGATGTGTAGTTGTATCTTTCTCAGACGGGTAGTGTTTAACTCTCAGTGTGCCGCACTGCCAGTTGGAAGTGCGCTCGTGCTTGGATGTAGGGTGTCTTGTGCCCGCCGAGCCCCTGGCCATTGCTCCTGTCTTTCTGGGCAGGAAGCCCACCCCAGCCAGCTACGCCTCCATGAAGCTGCAGTGCCACAGCAAGGGCTCCCTCATCCCGGCCTCCTGCCTGCAGCCCAGCGTATGGGCCGCCCGCATCTGCTGCATGGCCTCCAGCGACAAGCTGAGCCGCTGGACCCTGCTGGGCGTGCAGGGGGCGCTGCTGAGCCACTTCATCAGCCCCCTGTACATCGTCAGCGTGGTGCTGGGTAAGACCGCGGCGGCCTGAGAACGCTGACTCGTCTGCACGCTGAACGTTTTAACCCTAAAGTGTACTTTACACTGTACTTATCATACGCTGTTATTACCATGAAAGCAAAGTGGTGAAACTGCTAGTTAGCAGCTGCTGGGGTCAGTATTCTGCTGCTCCACTGGCTGGCTGCAATTTCTAGATTAATAAACGTCCAGCTGGTAAAGCCCTACCTATACAGAAAATTAGGAAGAACTTTATCATTTCTAACTGCATCTAGTTCACAGTTGTCAGGGAAAAAGTATTTTCTGTAGCAGGAACACAGACGTCTGTCATCCACAGGGTTGATCTTCTGTGAGGGTCTTCTGTGAATGCCACAGGGGGAGCAGTGTGTGGCTACTCCTGCAGACAGATGCATGCATCTGTGACGCCTGCTTTGCACCAGGTTGTAGATGCTGTCTTGTGGGACTGCGGTCCGTTCCTCTTGTAGAGCCGGGACCAGCATGGTCCACAAGCCTTGGGCGCCCCCCGTCAGCATGGCCTGTCTCCCAAGAAAGCCATGGTTGTCTTTCTCACAACGAGCACGTCAGCGGAGCGATTGGCTGCCTGTGACGCTCAGAATATCGGTTCAAATGTCAGGGCGGTAGTTGTTCTGATCTCCCGTGAGAAAGAAGAGAGGCACGCTTTTGTCTTTTGTAGAAAAATGACTGCCTGTTGCACAGCAGCTTATCCGGCTCCAGTTTGTTCGAACCAGCTGCTGGCACTGGAACAGCGTGCTCTGTGTTAATGAGAACACGGGCCCATAAAAGAGGATCATGGGTCAGTTGATTTTGCCCTTGTGGCGCTTTGCTCAAAGTACGGCCCAGTGGAATGCCAGGGTCCCGGGCCTGCCTTTTAATACTGGAGCCAGCAGCCAGGAAAACCCCAAAAACCTGGGGCTAGCCAGTCTGCTAGCCAGCAGGAGTCGGATCACGGTCTGGGGGGGAGGGCGCAGACAGACAGCTGGGAGAGTGCAGGAGGGGCCTGTCGTTGCAGCGTGATCGTCGATCCTGACCTGCTTCTCCCGATTTGAACCCCCTGCGCCCAGGGGACCTGAACCACAGCATCGAGAGGGTGGCGGACGTGATCAACCGGCGCCTGGGCGAGGACTGGGCCCGCCGGCTGCCCCGGCCCTTCGAGAAGCAGAACATCTACTTCTACAACGGCGCCAACGTCGGGCCGCCAGCGAGCCGCCCCGACTGCAGGCTCCTCAGCCTCAACTGGTGCCGGGGGGACGCCAGCTTGGAGGTG